CCAGGGGGAGTTTGCCTTTGCCTTCCACTGATGTTGAGTTTGCCTTGTTCTGGTTCACCCAGTGAGTTTCCATGTCTGAGCAGAAATTCAAACTCCAGTTCTAGAGTTATAGTTCAAATCTCAAAGCGGTATACCTCACTGGCTCTGGAAAATAGGTACTCCCTCACAGTATTTGGAATTAAATTTGAGAGTACAGCTGGCCTCGCACATCTGAGGAGGTTAGAGGCACAAGAACCCCATGAAAGTGGAAAAAAATGGTGAATACTGTACAGCTGGGATCAGGGGACACAGTTGCAGTGACTAAGAAGAATACATGCTTGTCCCACAGATATTACTCTATGACAAAATCTAGGGCTGTGTGCAACATTCACACACCAGCCTCATCCACAGGAAAGGGGCAGGGGAGTGAAATATCAGTACTTTCATCATGCCCATGAATATGGGATCACCCTGTGAACATTTATTTGGCAGCCCCTTCCTCAGGAGATGGGCAGATAGGAGTATGAGAAGTCACTGCCTATCAGGCCCACAGCCAGGATTTCGATTTGGGGGGGGGGGGGTGAGTTTTTTGGGGGGGGGGGGGCTGAGTCTGAGTGAAAGAGGGACTACCACAGCAAACCTTTTGTATCGTTACCCCAATACCCCCATGCATATGGGATATATTGAGCATGGTGATCAGATCATGATATGATTTAACATAACAGTTTAAATAATGTAACAAAGTATGTTTATTGTAACCAAACTACAGCTACGTAGCGACAGATAAACTATCAAAGTTTTGTCTCACCTTCAGAGATGTTCGATATGGGCGCCCCGTGTGACACGGCAGATGTCCAAGCGATAGTCCAGTTCATTCCACATCCGTTGCAGCACATTCGACGTAATGGCATCGAATGCAGCAACGTCTGGGAAGGTGTTCGTTGAGGTCCTAACCCTAACCCTAACCCTATCCCTAACCCTAACCCTAACCCTAACCCTATCCCTAACCTAACCCTAACCCTAACCCTATCCCTATCCCTAACCCTAACCCTAACCCTATCCCTATCCCTAACCCTAACCCTAACCCTAACCCTTGAAATTCTCGCTGGACCGTAATTACTGACATTGTTTTAGCAAATGTCATCACACAAAACGCCTTCTCTTTGCTTGATTCCGCCATTTTGAAAACAGCGACCCCTAGCGACGCCTAGCGGCATTAACGTACATGTGTGTTGCTCAAAAAAAACTTTGATAGTTTATCTGTCGCTACGTAGCTGTGGTTTGGTTACAGTAAACATACATTCGTCTAAAATTAATTTTCTTATTGGCCTATTCATTTTGACTAACCCTGTATTAAAATGGTGATCAGATCATGATATGAATAAACATAACAGTTTAAATAATGCACCAGTAAGGCCTTTTTGCGAACCACCATGAGAATTTCGGGGGGGAGGGGGGGCTGAAGTCCCTCAAGCCCCCCCCCCCGGCTACATGCCTGCCTATTTCACCAAGATGAGGCTACTCTGTGAATATTCACATAGCAGTGCTGTCCTCAGGAGGTGAGTTGGAGGGGGGAATAATTACTTACCCCACCGCACCCACCTCTCAAAGATGGGGTAGTCATTCAAACATTCACATGGCAGCCCTGACCCCAAGATGTGAGAGGGGAGGGTGCAGCAAGTGGTGTAATGGTATCATGCATGAATGTTCAGGCAACCCTATTTTTGAGAGGTGGATATGCCTCCTGAGGATGAGGCTGTCCTGTCTCCAAGAGATACAAACATTCCCTGCCCACCTTCTGAGGACAGGGCTGCCATGATTTGGGTCTAGGTTACTTACAGGATCACCTTCTCCTGTACAATCTACTCTGAAAACATGGGTCTTTTTTGGGGGGGGGGGGCAGGTATTCTATCCTGCCAGAACCCAACTGTTAATCATCATGCACCTAACAAATAAAAAAATGCTCCTTGGTTATAAACTTAAGACCTATCAATCAAGTAATTATCTGGTAACAAAAGACATTTCTTGTGAATACAACTATGTATTGGCTTTATTCTATTTTGGATCCTATATTGTTGTGCAAATAAAATTTAGTCTCCTGTTCTGATTACATCTAACCAATGTTGGTAGTACTAGAGCTTTTTAAAGTTTGTGAGGACATCCTCAGAGGATTGCAGTAACAACATCGCAGAAAAACTGACTGATATCCTTGCCAATGTGGACATCATAATTGGTACTGAGACATAGATGGATGCAGTAGGATAGTGTCTGATCATGACATGATGGATACATTTCAGCTTGTGCAGCAGAGGTGGGCAAAGTATCCTCTTGGATTTCAATTTCTAAACTATTTTAAAGCAGATCCCCACCACCAACTTTCCCTGGACTGCTTTTTTAAAATAAAAAGCTTGCTTCTTCTGAAAATATCTTAAATAACATTTTTAATACATTACGTGTCCCCATGGACTTTTAAAAAGTCCTTGTTCCTCAAAACCAGAAGTAGATTTCTTATAGATTGTGGGTTCTCACACCACAGTCTTTTATGTTTGTGCCTTCAGTTCACCTGCCAATTTATGGTGACTGGATGAATTTAATACGGTTTTCTTAGGCAAGGAATATTCATAGGTGGTTTTTTGCTAGTTACTTCCGCTGAAATATAACCTTCTCTGGAAATAATTTATGTCTTAATGAAATGACATAGTATCTATTCATCTTAAGTGAATTTTGCTGAGAACCTAGAAAATGTAGGCTCAATTTGATAAAAGTGCAAATGCAATATAACACACATAAACACAAACAAACAACAAAAATAGCACTTATTCTAAAAAGTAGTGAAAGTTTTAGGAATCACATGATAGCATTTACATGTCTACATGGAAGTAAGTTGATTCAGTACTTCTCACTCCCATGTTCAGGCAGTCCCCGAGTTACAAACATCTCACAAATGACTCATAGTTAAGAACTGGGATGAGACACAGGAAGTGAGAGAAATCTATCCTTCGGAAGGGAAATTAACTCCTGGGAGAGTTATCATGGGGAAAAGGTATCACAACTGAAGCCTTCTCACCAATCCTTGTTTCCACCATTTTTCAAAATCCAATTATCACAGGGACAGAAAGTGAGGTGAAATCTTCAGAATGGGGGGGGGGGGCACAGATGGTAAAACAAACACCACAGGGGTGTTAACCCTTTCCTATCCTATCCAAAGCATAGATAGATGGATAGATGTTCTGATTTACATACAAATTCAGCTCAAGAAAAACCCCCTGCAAAACCTATATGGTTCGTAACTTGGAGACTGCCTGTATGGGTATAGGATTGCAGCATACCCCCCCCCCCCCCCGTTTTTTAAATGATAGCACTCAGGAGTTTTGTTGTATATGGATTCTTTGGAAGGGTGCTATTAATTTTTATTTTTAAAACCAGAAGAGGTAAACAGGGATATCTACAGGGAAGCAGACTTTGGTAGCAATTTGTGTAACTTGTGAAAAGTGATAAAAGTGATAAAATATTTCCATTTCCAGTTAGAAAATCTCCATGTGCTTTCCCTGGTCCTCTGATTTGACAGTTGTTGCTTCTCCCTCATGCTCATCTCTGAATGTTGATGTTTGGCTGCATTTAAGTTAGTGAATTGCCCATTCACATTAGCCATGTTGACCATAAAAGAAAATTTGAAATCCATAAAAACTAATACCATTATTGGCTAATCAAGATACACAAAACACATTATGCAAGATGTGTCAATAAAGGGCAAATCACATTGAAGAAACATGCACATTGTTAAAAGCCTGGCTGTTCATAAATGCCATTGAACTCCCAATAATAACACTATGTAACTCATGTTTTGTTCCTGGGTTATAAATATCATTTTCTAATTGGTTTTACCATAGAAACATGGAAAAAGTTTATTAAACTGTAAAAACTTTGTTTTTGAGGAACATCCTGCATAATATTTTCTATAGTTTTTCAATGAATATCTGATAGAGTCTCAACCAATTCAACATAGTTTGTGGCAGCCACAAAAACAAAGTTTCTGGAGTATAGAAACTACTTTCAAAGTAAGTACTACACAATTAAACAGGAAATAACATTTTCAAAGTAGGAACAGATTTTTTTTAAAAAAATTGTCACATAGTGGGTCGTTGTAGGCTTTTTCGGGCTATATGGCTATGTTCTAGAGGAGGATGCTTGCCATAGATGCAGGCGAAACGTCAGGAGAGAATGCCTCTAGAACATGGCCATATAGCCCGAAAAAACCTACAACAACCCAGTGATTCTGGCCATGAAAGCCTTCGACAATACTTTGTCACATAGTGTTACGATTCAGAAAGGCAGGTGAAAGCAAGGAGAATGTTATCTTACTCCAATTCCCTTCCTATTCTTATTTCTATTTCTTTTGGGAGTAGCATCTGTTTTTACTATTGAGGGATAACCCCCTTACTAAATTGGGATATAGAGTTATTAATGTGTCTGTTATGGGATGTTTCCTATACAGACCAGGCTCAAGTATGTTTACTAGTGCCCCAATTTACAACACAATTGTTACTTTTAGTGCTGCAGGTATCAAGCAAAGTACTTTCTAATATTACTTTAAAAATGCAAAGATAAAACAACTTTATATAATAACTGAGTTCTGGAACAGACCTCTATTAACAAAATATGTAATTGGTTATAATCTCTTTCTGTAGGAATCCAAATTATAAAAAAAATGAATGATAAGAAAACATTTAAGTATTATGGTATAATTGTAATTTTAGGCTATGGGGATTTTAAACAAGATAATTAGTTATTGAAAAGAAGACACATGATGGGATTGTCACACTCATTAAATAAATGCTACTGGGAGACAAGTCAACCCATGTAAGAATTGTAACTCCCATTAATGGGCTAAATAGAGTAAAGTCATATGATTGCATCGTTTTAGTAAGCTGAAAATTATAGCTTTGAGTTTAGCAAACTTGAAAATATGAGGAAAATTCTTTTGAAGTATGACATTAAAGGCTCTGATTCATTTATTACAGAATTCACAAAGGGCCTACTCCCACCATGCATTACTATTGGTGAAGCCCCACTGGAATGAATGGCGGGTGGAAAAGAACATGGTAAGGTATTTGCATAGCTTCCATCCATTTCAGTGTTGCTTGTCTATACAAAATTTCAGATGGTATTAAGGATATGTGGGCCAAAACATATTCTGAATTTTAGAAAACTCTTTACTAATTGTGAAACACTCCCTACCTACACTTTTTCCATAGTTGCACCATGTACAGTCTTGTGATCCAGGGAGATCGGATTAAAATATTTAATCGAGCTTCAAGAGAGCCAGCATGGTGTTGTGATTTGAATGTTGGACTTCGACTCTGGAGACCAGGGTTCAATTTCTCACTGGATCATCTTGGAAGTTGCATCCTCTCAGCCTCAGAAAGATGCAAACGCAACCCCCTCTAAACAAACCTTTTCAAGAAAATCCTGTGGTAAATCTGTCTTAAGGGTCTCCATAAATCAGAAATAACTTGAAGGCACACAAGCTTGACAATCATTCTAGCCTTTACATCTAGCCAGAAAGTGGATGCAGAGTAGCTCTAGTATTACAAGGACTGGTAGGGAAGGAAGAAGCTAACTGAGTAAATAAATAGAACCTCATAGAATTTTTTTTTAGTTTAGGCAATCAATCAATCAAAACTTGGAAATTGTAGCAAACTGCTGATCTCCTAGCTGGAATTGAGATTTTTACATGACCGTTTGCCCTTGTGTGGAGCAGATCCCACCAGAATGGGTGAATTTGTACCTTCATCTCTTCCTGGGAAATAATCCATGAAAACTGGGGATTAAAACTAAGCCCTGAGATTTAGCATCCGTATGTTTTTGGCTATTGCCTGGTTGTTCCAGAAGAGTGTTCTAATAGTGCTGGGCAGGTGTTTCAGCATCATGTTCTAAATATTTAAAACCATTAAATGAAAACTGTTATGAATACAATGTCTTATTTAATAGTCTTTTTGTTATAAGGATTGTTCTTTTAGGTAAATTTTGTTATAATCTGTGTTGTCCACCATGTTATGCCTTACGGGATTAAAGCAGTGGTTCTCAACCTGTGGATTCCCAGGTGTTTGGGCCGACAACTCTCAGAAATCCCAGCCAGTTTACCACCTCTTAAGATTTCTGGGAGGTGAAAGCCAAAACATCTGGGAACCCACAGATTGAGAACCACTGGATTAAAGCATGATTTAACTAAAATAAAAAAGAACAAAACATTAGTGTGGGCCCTTTAAAGTCATCCCAAGCAATATGTATATAATGAGGGGTTTGCTGTTTGCCCTGTGTATTCCTGCATACTTTTTGTGTGGTTGAAAGTACTCAAGAGACTATATTCTAAATTTCAGTAGAAATAGATTTCTTTGTGAAAGCCACAGTTGCTGTATGTGCTGATAAATGTAATGGCAGTGCTTTCTGCCACTATTAACAAAAACCATTTATGCAATTACTACAGTACGTTTACCCTTGGTTTTTTATAATATGCATATTAAGGTTATCTTATTGGGAGCTTGATTTCTGGAAATACAATTACTTTTTTTACCAAATTATGGCAAAAAACTTTTATTATAGAACTAAAGCAAAAGTCGCCTACACAGAACAGGGTAGTTGTAATGAAAAATCTATAAAATATGACAAGCTATAAAGATTTCTAGAAAGAACACAGATGATAATTAGAGTTATATTAAGTCTCTGTTACAATGCCTTTTTTGTTTCATTTCAAAAAAAGTTTATCTTGTCTCAATTGCTTTCTCTTTTAATTTAATAGTTACAATCACCTAATTTATTTTACGGAATTAACTTATGCACTTTAATAAGTGCTATCCTTTATTGAATTGCTGGTTCCTGTATTTTTCCAAATTTTCCTTGTCATTGGTGTATGCGTTATTCTGTTAATAAAATTAATACTACATTGCTAACAATTACAATGCTGTACAAATATTGTGTCTTATAATTTTCATAGATTTCCAATTTGTATATTGATCTGTAGATCATAAAAATATATAATATCTATTTTTAAACAAAACTGCAGTATTGGTGTAATGATCATTAGTATTCTTTTCTCTGTACTTAGCTTAAATCAATGTGAGCTGAGGATATTGTGTGCTTTCACCATCTTTGCTGTGTGTGTAAGACTATGGACTATATCCCAGGATCTGACACCAGATTTTCTGTTTATCCTAGATTAGCTGGCAGCGTAGACTCATATAATCCAGTTCAAAATCGATAATCTAGGATCAGATCCTGGGATATAGGGCAGTGTGGATCCAGCCTAAATGAATACAGAATGAAAAGTGATAGAAATGAATTCAGAACAAATTGTAGATTTAGGGCCCTTCTACACTGCCCTATATCCCAGGATCTGATCCCAGATTATCTTCTTATCCCAGGTTATCTGGCAGTGGAGACTCATATAATCCAGTTTAATCCAGATAATCTGGGATCAGATTCTGGGATATAGGGTAGTGTAGAAGGGGCCTTAGGGAACAATGGTAAAGTTTAATTGTTCAATAGAAAGTATTTCATAATGTTTAGTGTTCCCACTTTGGCAGGAACATTCCTAATTAATCATCTGTCCTCCCACTCTCCAAACTGAATTTAAAATGTTCAAGTTTTTATTTCATTTTCCTTAGTTTACTTCAGTTTCTGCAAACTGCATTCCAAGTGGAAAAGTGGTTTGTATTCAAACCTGGGACTTCATCACATGGATGAGCTCCTGCGAGGTGATTCACCACCAACCATGCCAAATCAGCAGGGCAATTCCGACACCTCATGCCCCGTCTCGCCCACAGTTGATGCTTCCCTTTAGATATTTAGACAATCTGTTCTTCAGCTTTCCCGTGGATCGCATCATCTTCTCTATTCACCTCCATTTGTATCTATTTTGAGCATGAATTGACCAGTGTACCAACATGGATAGTTTGTGAAATTCAGGGGAGGATCATTGTCATTTCTTCTTTTCTCTAAAGATTCTTGTTTCTTTCGACAACCTTCTTGTGACATGGCAAGCGGCATGGGTTGTGGCTGTTCATTTCGATGTTCTAATATAGGAAAACTAGAATTTTTCGGTAAATGGGGATTAATCAGAAGATAATATAATCAGTCATCGTTAACTTCTGTTCTACTCTGTGCACGAATAGAATAAGAAAATATGTGCATAACATTTTGGCTTCAGGTGCTTTTTATTAACTTCGCTTATATAATGTTCAGTCAAATTAAATTCATTTCACATGTTTTCTTGTGCCTTTTGCCTGCTGATGTTTAAATAAGACATTGGTAATCTAGTCAGGGTCTCACAAAAACGTTAATTGAAAATAAGTTAAAAACATGTATTCTAGTCATGAATGAACTGTAATCAAATTATTTTCTTGTTCCGTCTGTTTATGATTCTGTTAACTGTGAATAACATTACTGGACTTAAACAGTCCCTTCTTATTATCATTGCAGATGCATTTAATTATAGTACTATTCATTATCAAGAGATGTGATGTGTAGATTAAAGGTAAAATCTCAGAAGCTGAGCTGCCAATAATGGCACTGTAGGTTTCAATTATAATTTAATGCTTTTAATTATTCTGTTTAACTCTTTAAAGGAAAGGTCATAAAGTGCTTCTTTTTCTTGCATGAGCAATGCAGAAGTGATTCTGGACTAGCATAATGTCTTGAAAATGGAAGTAGATTTTATGATTGGAATAGTAAAATAGAATGGAATGGTATGTTTCCCAAGATTATCACTTATGAGTTGTACTGTGAGGAGTGGTTTTCCATTTAGACATGGCTGCCCTTGTGTTGAAAGTTTGCTTCTTCAGATCATTGCCTGCTATCTTAAGTTGTCTGGTCTCATCCCATTAGTGCTTTTTCTCCTGTCATCTTCTTGCTTCTCTTGGCACTTTTAAAATTGATATTATGACTTTTTCCTGCCTGACTTTTATTTGTGTTTCTCTAGTTTATAGGATCTCATTACTTTTCTCTTTCTTTGACCCTCTTAATATATAGTCTTTAAGAGAAGGTCATGCAAAGTCTAGGTGGTGGACCTTATTGTCCTGCAATAAATCAGACGTGCCACACATCCTATTGCTGTGCCACCAGAAATTATCTTTTAAAATGAGTAGTTTTAAAACAAGGTACATGGAGGCATGAGCCTTGTTTTGAAGCTTATTAAGGCTAAACCTTGGGGTGTTTCTAGGAATACTAATCATTCCATGCACCTTTTTAAAGGGAGATGCTGCTTAGCTTTAAGGGATATTAGTGCTACTAAAGTTCAAGGAATGTTACTTTTCTGTTACACATGATAAGGGCATACAGCAGCACTGGAAGAAGACAAGTTCCCCAGAAGGTACTGGGATCTGCAGACAAGAATGCATTAATTAGACTATTTTTGAATTGTTTGCAGCTCTCTGTTGAGCCCTAAAGGAAAAACCTAGTTACAATTTCACAATTACTCCTGTTTTATGGGTTAGGAGATTTCAGGTGCTTGCGTACTACAAATGCCCTGCCCTTATTTTAGCTAGATTATAAGTATGTTTTAAAATGTATCTATATAGTCAAATGCTTTTTGCTATATATTCAAAGAAGTGTACATTTAAAGCAATGTGCTTGATTATTTATAATTGGGTCAGCTCAGCCTAGCCAGCAGTAGAAAGGAACTAGTGATCTCCACTCAACATTTAAATAGGATAGTGCTGATTTGTTTACTTATTCAAACATCCAGCTAGTGAAGAAGGAGCCACATCTCTAACTAAAGGAAGAAAAAGCACACAACATTTCATGTTCACTGTCACCTTGCTAGTACTGATTAGCATGCTATTGAGTTGTTTGTATGCATATATAGTGCTTGCTCTAGATATGCATGTAGCAAAGTCCTGCAACTTAGTCCCTTTGCAGGCACTTTCCATCACTTCTCTAGTCTATGATAAAGTTACGGTGTATCGACTATATATATTAACCCTGTAGCAGGCAGTGATGGATTTTTAGATACCTTTCACAAGCATATGCATAGACGGTCTGAATATTTGGGAAGGCCAAGTAGTTATTTGAGAAAAATGACAACCCACAACGATTTCAGTAATGG